ATTTTGCTAAATTAAGATGTCGCTAATAAAGTTATATTATCACAGTAAGATTGTTGACACTTCAGGTATCGAAATTAAGATTCAGTTAATTCATGCATGGAGTCGAATTTGCTAAAATGGCATGTAGCCTATTTCAAAGTGTTTTACAGTATTTGGTTTCATGTTTAGTGTTTGTCTTAAATACAAACACTGGCTGAATTTATATCTCTTTCAATAATAGAAAGACATATCCTACAGGTAATGTATATTGCCACCATTCATAAAGTCAATATAAAAATTGAGATAAATTTGAAAGATGAAAAATGCCAGTTTAGTAAAACAGGAATCGGTTTTAATAGTATCATTGTTTAATACAGAGCATTTCAATTTTGTGTAATACCATGTGAAAACAGATGACATTTAATTTGTTAAAGATAAGCTGTGGCTCAAATGTACTTAATGAAATGTAAAAGAAATAATAAACTAATAATATAATAAAATATAATTATGAGTTCATATTCTTTCAACTTATTTAATTTACTGATTTGATTGTCAAAATAATACACTGGGGCAAGTAGATGTTACCTAGTGTCACACTGTTCACACGTATTTATGTGTTATCTATTAAGAATATACAAGTATTAAATATGTCTTGCTTTTATTTATTTATTTATTTTATGTTATGAGTTATGAAATTATTTAACTTCTGCCTTAGCATGAATTGCAAGAACGAGAAGAAAGAAAGGAACGACAAGCGATGTTAGAAGAGCTACGCAAAAGAGAAGAAGAAAAACGAGAACAGGAAGAAAAGAGATTGGTAGGATGTTTCTGAATTGTTCAGTTATGTATAAGGAAGGCACTTGTTTGATTTCACACCAATTGTACTATGCTTTTAATTTTCGTTCAGACATTACCAAATACTATTCATGTCAGTTGTGTGAATTCATCTGAGATTTTTCATATATTATGATGGTTTATACAAGTCAAATAATTCTGTGATTTGAATAATAAATTGCCGACTATGGGTCATTTTTTAATAAAAGAATATTGATTTCTAATACTTGAATTTGTTGTTTCATTTTTTTAGGAAGAAGAAGAGAGATTACGAAAAGAGGAGCAAGAGAGACGGGAACACGAGGAGTATTTGAAAATGAAAGAGATGTTTACAGTTGAAGATGAGGGACATGAACACGTACTTACAGAGTCTGAGGTAATTTTGAAAAAAAAAATGATTCTCGGAATCACACATTTTGATTTCAAAGTCTCATGTTTAAAATGTTAGTGGTTGGATAGCCACTTGTCAGACGGGTCAATATTTGCTGCTGATCTAAGTTATTTCAGCTTTGACTTTGAATTTATTACCAGTAGAGCTTCTTTGTGCTTTTTATTTAGAATGATTTCATTTTCTAAGTGGGATTTTTTTTATTTCAGTCCCAGTCTCTGCTGAAAGAGTTCATTGATTACATCAAGAATAAAAAAGTTGTAATATTAGAAGAACTAGGTGCACAATTTAACCTTAGAACACAGGTAATGACTTTTACAATATTTGTTCTATTAGTAACATATATACTCAATATAGACTGTACTACTTACAAATATTGCTGCATCCTTATTATTTTTTGTATCTTTGCCTTCCTTCAATTATGTCAAGAAGACATGACATTCGTTCATTGATAAAAACATTTCGGAGCACATTACGATAAAATTAGAGCAGAGCCTCGTTATGGGGATGCTTTTGTTCAAGTCTCTATGCACCTATATATATGACTGCAAAGAATTTTAGTTTACATGATCAGGTGACATCTTAGAAAAGAAAATTTCAACTGCGTTTCGCATTTTCTCGGGATTGAGCCAGCAATGGAAGGGAGGAAGTTAATAATGTACATAAGACCAAAAGAAATAAACAATTGTGGCATCGTGGAAATCAGAATTTGTATGGCTAATTACGGACTGGGTAAGCAGGTGGTTTACTGTGAAATATGCCAAGCTGCCTATGGTCCTTCTCACAGCAAAAATCATAAATAAAATTCAAACAATGTTGATCAGCATCTAAAACAATGTGGATCAGAATCTAAAACAATGTTGATCAGAATCTAAAACAACGTTGATCAGAATTCAAACAAGGTTAATCAGAATCTAAAACAATGTTGATCAGAATCTAAAACAATGTTGATCAGAATCTAAAACAATGTTGATCAGAATCTAAAACAATGTTGATCAGAATCTAAAACAATGTTGATCAGAATCTAAAACAATGTTGATCAGAATCTAAAACAATGTTGATCAGAATTCAAACAATGTTGATCAGAATCTAAAACAACGTTGATCAGAATCTAAAACAATGTTGATCAGAATCTCAAACAATGTTGATCAGAATTCAAACAAGGTTAATCAGAATCTAAAACAATGTTGATCAGAATCTAAAACAATGTGGATCAGAATCTAAAACAATATTGATCAGAATCTAAAACAATGTTGATCAGAATTCAAACAAGGTTAATCAGAATGTAAAACAATGTTGATCAGAATCTAAAACAATGTTGATCAGAATTCAAACAAGGTTAATCAGAATGTAAAACAATGTTGATCAGAATCTAAAACAATGTTGATCAGAATTCAAACAATGTTGATCAGAATCTAAAACAACGTTGATTAGAATCTAAAACAATGTTGATCAGAATCTAAAACAATGTTGATCAGAATTCAAACAAGGTTAATCAGAATCTAAAACAATGTTGATCAGAATCTAAAACAATGTTGATCAAAATCTCAAACAATGTTGATCAGAATCTAAAACAACGTTGATCAGAATCTAAAACAATGTTGATCAGAATCTAAAACAATGTTGATCAGAATCTAAAACAATGTTGATCAGAATCTCAAACAATGTTGATCAGAATCTAAAACAATGTTGATCAGAATCTAAAACAATGTTGATCAGAATCT